TCTTCAGGAGGAGCTGTCCTCCTCACAGACCTGGTCTTCAGGAGGAGATGTCCTCCTCACAGACCTGGACTCCTAATGTGGCTGTGGTTTTGTCTCCGTGTGCAGGAGACGTCTAATGAGGTGTCTACGTTTAAGGAGCCATTCCCACCGTCCTCAGACACGGCTCCTCATGTCGAAGCCCTTAGTACTGTGAGTGCTGTCTTTCGTCTTCCTGTTTTTGTTTACTGATGATGTCATAAAGTAATCAAATGTTTTTTTGCTCCTCTGACAGCCCCCTCAGGCTGGCTCCAAAGCAAAGCCCATTCCAACCATGGACAGCTCCAGAACTCAGGTGAACGAGTCTTTGAGCTTTACGACAAACATCAGCTGATCATGTTTCTGATTAGGGCTGAGCAATTAATTGCATTTTGTAATAATATTGCAATATGATGAAACTAGATTTTTAATCGCTACGGCTGCGATTTGCCTGGTCACATGATCTGGTTACGTGACTTGCGAGTGAGTGGAGCGGGAGAAGTCAACACTGCCCTTTAACCGGTTGCACAGTGGTGTCAGGCTCGACAGAAGCTGACACTTCTGAAAGTTCGGTACCAAAGAGCGGCAGCGTTTCTGTTGTTTGGAATTATTTTGAATCTTGCTGCTGTTGCTCCCTCTCCAGGTAACACCGCAAATCTTTAGCAACACTAACAAAAACACCACGAAGCCTTTTACGATGGTTGCATGGCCAGAATACCAACAACCAGTGCTTCACCTTCAAGTTAGCAAAGTAGCAGCCGACAGGGATCTCTGACCAAACTGTTTGAAAGTATTACTTTATATTAGAGATGCACCGATCCAATATCAATATCGGTATCGGTACCAATATCTGGAAAAACTTCTTGATCAGGTATTGGTAACAATGTGACCGATCCATTTTCCGATCCACCTGCCAATACTTCCGATCCATGATGGATGTTGGCTTCAAACTATGGACTGGATTTCCTGAACGGCGGCGTGTCTCATGAACCCAGAGTAATAAGACCCGCCTCACATTCAGGAAATCCAGTTCATAGTTTGCAGCAGCTACAACGTGAGGACTGAGTTAGCAGCACTGTGGCTAACAGCTAACAAACTTTTCATCTAAACATGTCGCTGTGTGGAAGTATTTTACACTGAACACCACAAGACAAGACAGCAACGTGCACTGTCTGCAGAGCCACAGCGCCACATTAAACCACGGTAAAGTTAGTTTTATGTTGGACGTTCGAGCTCCGTGGCTTCAGCGGGGCGCTGCTCTTTGCTCAACCCAAAACAAGCGACTCGACCCCGGCCAGCTGCGTCCACTCTGCCCCGCTCAGTCTGCCCGTCTCTGAGGAGGGACAGACTGAGCGGGGCAGACCCAGATCAGACTGCCTGCTTCGGACTGAACAAGAAGAAGACGTCGCTGAAACCACGGAGCTCTAATGTTTACAGAGAAGTTGATAAACTTCATCATTAATGACCGACCACTATCAGTTGTAGAAAACAAAGGATTTCACAGTTTGATACTTGCAGCCAAGATCTAGTTTACCCTCCAGGAGATATTTATCAGTACAACAGGAGACAATCATAAAAAACATGATTTGAAAATTATATTAAAAATAAAAACAGCTACATTATAAAGTGATGTAAAAAACTAAAAACAGGAACATGCCTGTTGGTTTATGCCAAGTGTTTGAAGCCATTTAACATTTTATTTAATTTAATTCATTTATACATTCATTTAAAAGAAACAAAATAAATTCATCAAAAAGAAAACATTAAATGAAAAGAGTTCAGGAAGAAAAAAATAATTCTTATATCTGCCCCTTATTTAAAAAAATATAAAATAACTTTAAACAATTACTTAAATTAATCACTTTAATATCCACTTTAAAACTAGGAATAAAAAGAAACATGTTTTGTGTTAGCAGGATTTAATTCTAACTTTAAAACTTATCCAACATTAATAAAACTTACCTCAAGTTGCCTTTTTGGACATGCATGCATAGATTTGTACATGTTGTACTTGAGAGGAGATTATTACAGCCTCATATAAAATCAATGATGATCATGATATCGGAACTGGATCGGTATCGGACGATACTCAGTTCTAGGTATCGGATCTGAAGTAAAAAAAGTGGATCGTGCATCCCGTCTTTACATGAACATAATTCAAAACAGCATGTGGAAATAACTCGAGCAACAACAGAGTTCATAGCTAAAGATGCTCAACAAAGTGACCACGCCTAGATTTACAGCTTTGGTCAGCACAGTGGATAAGCGGTACAGAACGTCCTCGTGCACACGTTAGCCAAGTTGCTATCCCGGAGCTACACAAAAAAAAAATGCAGAAACAGAATTTCATCGGAGCTGAAAACTGGAGTTTTTTGCAACTGAAACAGATTTATTGCTTGTTTGTTGAAAAATATATGAAATAAAAACATTGAAAAATAATTACATATTAAATCGCATTCACAATATTGAGGTCAAAAATCGCAATTGGAATATTTTCCAAAATTGTTCAGCCCTATTTCTGATTGGATCGTTGATCAGCTGACCTTCTTTCTGATTGGATCGTTGATCAGCTGACCTTCTTTCTGATTGGATCGTTGATAGACCTTTATTTATTTATACATGTTAGTTCCCATTGAGCCTCGAAGACTCATTCACACGAGAGACTTGAAAAATGCACAAAAAAGACGTTGCAACATAAAACTGCAACATACAGATGTTGTTTGGAAACAAAGTGTTTGTCACACCAAGTCAGAAGGCACGTGATTGTTTCAGCTGTTCTGCCCCAGGTGGATTATGGAGATCTGATATTTATGAACTCTTCAGGCCAGCTTTAGAAAAGCATGGATGCTGTGCATCATTGAGCCCTGTGTTTCTGACGGACTGTGTCCATCGA